CTTTTAATGAGTTCCACTTAAGTCTGGAAAATATTTATACTCAGAAATATGTAGGCAAGAAAATTTAGTGTTTTTCATTTTCTAAAGTCTGTTTTGCTTGTAATTCTCCTGAGTAACTACTCCTTGGATAACTCCTGTAACATATCCAGATGCTTATGAAGCATATCCAAAGTTTCTGTAGCTATAGATATACATGCAGAAAGAGTGGATTTTAAAGTAGAAGTCTCAGCCAGTAATGCAGCTGTACATGTGTTCTTGCTTTCCTTTCAGCCCTTGACTGAAAGTAAGTTTGTTCAGGCTTTTAGATAAATTGACTGTCTGTAGTCAGGTCTGGCCAAACTTCAGCATCACTAGTCAAACTTCAGAGAAACTCAAGTCCTTAGGAAATAGGAAAATGTTGTTTTTGGTCCTGGAAGTAGAGCTTTAGAGAGCCTAATATATGAACACTTGATTTTTCCTGACCAGTTTTAGTAACATTTATCTTTCTTCCTCAACTGTCCATCTTACCATGGCTTCTTTCTGTGGTAGCAGATTTTTATGCAAGGAATGGCTGGGTCCGTTCTCTCACTTGTGACCTGGGGAATCTATTAACCCTGTCTTTAGCATCAGCTTTTCTGTGAGGGGAATCCTGTTCTTTCCATTTTTCCAATACAACCTAAGACTTGCTCATCTTCGGGAGGCAAGCCTATAGGACATAGGAGCCAGTCACTGGACTGTTCCTTTACTTCCTTAAGGCCATAAGGATAGGGGAAACACAGCTTTTGAAGGCAGGTCTGCTGATGACAGAAACAGATTGTGATTATTTTGTGTTTACTCAGTCAATGGTACATTGTGAGCTTGTTAGACACATACACAAGTCTGCATCTATTCCACATTTAGGCCCTGATTCAGTAAAGTATTTGAGCGCATGCTCAACATTAAGTCCAAGAGCAACTCCCTTGGAGGCCCTGGTGAATGGATGCCTAATGTGGGTATGTTGATAACCATAATGATTTTTTTCCCCTAGCTTGGATAAGAGGGTAGGGGGATGGGGGAATACAGATAAATGAAGAGAAAAAGAATCTATACGGGGTAAGTTCAGTCAGAACAATGAGTACCTTTAAAGTGGATTTAATTTCACAAGGCTTCCTCTCCATCTCTATCTATAAAAAGGCTGAAGTTTGTCCAGTGATGAAATATAAGTAGAAATGGCAACTTCAGATTGCTTGTGCTTGAGTCTACAGGCAATTTTTGACAAAGGTTGAAGTCAGGCCTCTCCTTAGCAGATGATCCTTGAGATTTCTAGGGTACAGTGGGAAGAGGCATTTCTTTCTATGGTCTGGACAGCTCTGCAGGCTGCCAAAAGAATTCTTTCGAAAAGGAATAGCGAGGCAGTCAGGCAGTTATTGATAAGAATATGGGGGCAACCGAGGAGGTCAGAGCTTATTGGTCTCCTACTGTGACAATCTGCAGAGAATTGCAAGTCTGGAGAAACCACTCCAGTTCTCATTAGAAAATCTCACAAAAAAGCTTTAAAAAGAGAGAAGGCATTAAAAAAAAGAATACTTACAGTTCTCTGTAAAGCTTTTTTTATGGGATCCTAAATTTGCCATGAACTTAAATGAAAAAATGTTAATGGGTAGCTGTGATTTTCCAAATTTAATGTTAAGAATTCCTTCAGTTTGAACATGTGATTCCCTCCCCCCACCGGCTGGCCAACGTATACTTCCAAGCACAAGCTGAAGATAGCCCACTAATCAGAAGAATATCAACAGAATGGCTAACAAGTTTTTTCCAGTTTATGCCAATTTCTAGGATTAGGGAAGATGCACTATTTTCACCCTAAAAATAGAGTATTGGGACTTGGGTATGAATCTCCTTAAAGCTATAACTGTTTTTATGCTGATTGTTATGTACAAAGTGAAAAGCTTGGTTCTGAAAAATATTTTGAAGGCATTCCAACTTTTATTATTAACACAGAATTGCTAGAAGTCGATACATAAAACAGAAATATATGGCTTCCAAGAATAGCAGCCTTAGGCTTGTTTTTATGACAAAGGTCACATGGACTACATGGACAGCAAAGTCAAAACTCATGGCATTGGTTCTTTAAAGCAAGATATAGCTGTATAGCTTCTGCAGCTTCTTTATAGTTAGATGTTGTGGCACAAAACCTCTTTTATTTAGTATGAACCCTTTATGTCTTCCAACATTTTCCATTCTCAGTCATCTCCAATTACAGCAGAGCACAGATCAGAATCCAGCTGTTGAGGTTACTGTTTGTGCTGGGGGTGGGGAGGGGACTTTGAGCTGTGACCAAAGGCTGATTTGTAATTACTTGGGTATAATGATGATAATGGAGCTTAATATCTGTAACATGTGCACAGAGGGGTTTTTTGTTGTTATTTTTGGTTTTAAAATTTTTCCCCTCTGCACATTGGATCACATTTCTTTCTTAGAAGTCAGATTTGCTTTTTACTAGCTGCAGCATTATAGAGATAATGGTATGATGGGTGACTTAATGAAGTGAGTGTTCAGTGGAAGAAAAAAAAAAAGTAAATAATGCACATGATGAGGCAGTATATTTAAAAAGCGGTTTTGAGCAGCACTGGAGAAAGTTTAATTCACAGAAGGTTCTTCTGAGTGAAAAAGGGAAATATAAGAAATAACAAACAAGAAATGATGTTATTTCCCACTCTTCTTGCTTCCTTTTGGTGCAGGGGAGGAAAGTGCAGGCTTGCTTTGACTCCTGAAACTGAGTTGAAAGGTTGACTCCTAGGCTCAGCAGCTAGAAAGACCATGATAGCTCCTCTTAGGATCAATATAGGAGTTGTGCTTTAGCTTAATTACTGTGGATGTTTAAATATCAAAGTCCAAGGCTGAAATTTGGAAGAAAAGATTCTCCCAGAGTATTTTGTCTACATTGTGCACGTTTTTGCTTATCCCTGCATGGATTGTACCCATTGCCTGTTGTTCAGAACCCTGATCAGAGCAGTCAAGACAGTTATTCCTGTTGTCACTGATTTAGTTACAGCTGCTTCCTCTTCATGTGATTTAATCTGAAGTTTCAACCCACCAGGGGGCTAATGGTCCCCACCTATGCAGCTTTAAGTGCTGGCTGTTGTTTTCCACGTGAATGTTATTTCCATTCCTATTCATAGCGCTTCTTTCTTCATGTTCATCTGGCAACAGCAAGGCAGAGTTCCAGAAGCCCTCTTCACAGGGCGAAAACATGGAATCATTTAGATGGAAAAAAATATAAATGAAAATCACTCTGTTTGCTTTAAAATATTCACTTTGTTGTTTTGGTGCATGTCAGCAATGGAAAAAGATTGGCTAATATCCTGCTTTTAAAACTCAGTTAAGATTTTCTTTGTAAATTTTAATGGTTACACAATTCATTTATTTCTTCCTGGTTGCACCGGATAATATTATGATTTTATCATTTAATAATCAGGCAAGTAAACCTGTATACCTCTAATGGCTTAATTTCACACTGCATGGTGCGAAATAAAATGCTAAAAATGTTAGCAGGTACTGCGAGATAGTGAGTGAGTATATGTATATGTACATATATACGTATACACACTTGCACATATTAGAACTCTAAATAGATCTAAGAATAAGTGTACCAGTGCTATACTAGATGCTATACCGAGTATATCTAAAATGCTAATGAGTGATGACTGTATAGCAGTAACAATTGAACTTCAGGAGCAAAAAGGTTAATTTAGCTTTTTCATAGGTTTTGAGGCTATTAGATTTTAATAAGTGGACAAGGAATGTGTACAGATGGCACTGAAGGATTTTTTATAAGGTACTTTTTGTCAGTGCCTGCCTGCACACTGGTACAGAGGACTGTGTTGCCATGGAAAGCTTAGTGTTCGAGGAGAATTTTGAATGTCTTGCATTAGAAAAAAGGAATCGAAGCTCATGGTAGAGGTGATATCTTTTATTAGACCAACTAGATTTTTGCCCAAAAATGTATTTTTTGTTGTTGTTTTGATTCCTTTTGCCTCTATGCCAATACGACTACAACCTGAATGGAGACACGTGCAAAGCAGACTCATGCTGCATTTGCTAGCTGGAATTGTGGGTATGACTGTCCCCTACCTCCACCACCACAATTGACCTCCTAGAATAGAAACCGAAATCTACATCAGTAGCTTCTTGTTTAAAATATTTTTATACATTAGGGAAAGGATGGAAGGTGGAATACCCTGATGGAAATGGCCCATATTAAATCTCATTTATTTCAGCTGTTATTAAAGAGCAGTGCAATCTTTCCCCTCTTTGGACTGGAGGATGCTATTACCAGATTTTGGCATTCAAGGACAAGGCACTTTACAATACAAAGCAAATATACTACTTTCTACAGCCTGATTGATGGAAAATACTAACTGCTAGGAAGCAGTTTTTCCAACACTGCTACTTAACCATATTGCAGTGATTGTCCTTTTTAAGCCAATAAATTTAATACAGTGTTGCTAATAGTATAATTTAAAGAAGTCAGATTGCAATAGGTATTCTACAACAATTGATAATTGCCATTTTGGCAACTGGCTTGTTATAGCCTTAACTAATTTAGGCCCATACAGATTGTTAACTAACCAGTTAGTTGGTTTACTGTTAGTAATGGCTATTAGGATCGACTCATTGCTTGAGTAGTAGTGCTTGTGGTGGTTAATCAAGTAGATAACCTCAAAGATGGGAGTTCAGTATTGGTCCTGACAGAGTTGCTGTTGAGGCAAGACAGTATTAGTCATTGGCTGTGAATGTTAATCACTCCACAGCAATGATAATTTACAGCATTGTTGTAGCACTCTGGTGCTCATAAAATGAACTTAATAACCCACTGCTACCCGTGGGATAAGCCTCTTCTTTTTTCTCCTGCAATTCAATACCCAGCCTGGCTGCATAATAGTCTTGTGAAATACTGCATTAAAAAGGGTGAGCAGCTGTATGATAAAATAAACAGCTCTAAAACAGATTTGTTAATTATCTCCTCCTTTTATTCACAGAGGGTGTTTGTGAGATATGGCTGACCAGTGAAGACACAGGGGCTTATGGCAGAGACATTGGCACAGATCTCCCTACACTTCTGTGGAAGCTGGTTGAGGTTATCCCTGAGGGAGCTATGTTGAGACTTGGCATGACAAACCCCCCCTATATTTTGGAGCATCTGGAGGTAAGTAAAAAGGAGAATCATTTGCATTTTAACATAGCTGTTAACTAATCAAGTCGGTGTGGTATCATGTGTAGTGTGTCAATAACTTTTGCAGTCACAAATTACAAATACATTTATCAAATTAGACTTTTAACATTAAGTCACTTGCCTGACAAAGGTGGCTATCCAATCAATCAAATATACACTTCTCTTTTTAAATGCGGTGTGTGAGCTTGAAGGTAGTGTTGTCAGACTTTTGCTTGCATGTCCAGCTTTTTAATATATAGTGGAAGTGGTCATACCGAACTATGGATTCTGAGTCAAAATCTTCCTCCTGTACACGCAAAAATGCTGTCAGAAAACCTTGTCTTCGTTTCTGTGTTCATAATATGAAGTCTAGCCTGCGTTTCTTGTGGGGACTTAGTATGAGCATGCTTTGCTGTAAACAATTCCTATAAATAGTTTCATGAGCAGGACATCTATGTGCTCTTTCTCCCCAGGGGGAGATGGCAGTCTGGGCCTGGCAGCAGAGCCTGGAGATTGTTCCCTGACTAGTTCCCTATGACATGGTTTAATTTTACTGGGCAGGTGTTGTCCCCAAGTTAATAGTATCCTTTTTTTTAACTGTCATGTTGCAAGAGTGGCTGTCTGTGCCTGAGGAGGAAGAGTGACACTGAGAAAGCTGAAGGTAGCAAAAAAAGGGGTACTAGGGAGGACAGAGAGCTAGAGAAAAGGTAGTCCCAGTTGGGAGAGGGAAGACCAAGAGAAGTAGTCCCAGGGACGACAGAGGGAACTGCAGTGGCACACTAAATCTTCGGAGCTGAACCGTTTGCTGTCCTTTTTGGGACATTGACACTCTGACCCCCTAATGCCCCTCCCCCCCCCCACTTTGAAGAAGAAAACACCTCCCTTCCCAGGCACTGACCAAAAAGAAGGAGCTCTCTATCCACGGTGATCTATCATGGATCGCGGGGGGAGCTAGATTTCAAAGCTAGATGTTTGACTCTTGTGAAGCCACACCAGGGCTGGCTTCAGGGGGTCCTTCAGGAGAGGGAGACCAGATAAGGTTGCTTCTTGGGGGAGTTCTTAGGCAGAGCTTCCTCTCAAAAGTGCCATTGATCCATGACATTAGACTGTCTTGCATGTTCAGCTTTCCTTTAATAGCTAGTAGAAGTGATCACATCAATCTATGGATCCTGAGTTAAAATTGTCCTCCCTGTGTACCTGGAAAAATGCCTTCAGAAAAACTTATCTGCTGTCTGGGTTCAAAATCTGACAAAAGCCAGGAAAAAGAATAAAAGTTAACTCATGCTTTGTTTCCAAGGCTTTCATACAAAGAAATGGGAGCCTTAGATGTTTAGCAAGAAATTGTTTTTTAACAAACTATATGAAGTAAAATAGAAGCAGAGCTGAATGCTGAGGAATTAAAATGAACAGCAATTATACAGGTAGCAGGAGCAGAGGGAATTCTCTAAAGAATTGCTTTGTTTGGTGGCCAAATGAATTTATTGAATCTTGTGTGAATTGGTCATGAAAAAACCTAAACATAAAGAAAAAACACAGATGAGAAAAGATTGGGGAGGATTTATGGGCTGATATATCATTAATATTTGGGGTGCGACTATCCGTGTATGAAAATAAAATACTTGTTGCCCATTCAGTGGCACTTCCTAACATATTGCATACTAAGTATTGGTCACTTGGGATTCCTCAAGGTACTGAGATCGTGTTGTCTAAAAGCTGTGCCCAGTCAGTTTTCTAAAGTCCAGAGAAATGAGGAGTGAGCTTCTACCATTCCTAAAAAAAAGTAAGCAAATGGGCATGATCTTCGGAGAAGTGTCTGATATCCAGTAGAACCAGAATGAATGGTTCTGTAGCCGAAGAACAGTAGAGACTAGTAGCACATGAAAGCTGGCAACCATAACTCGCAGATTATGGTAAAATCTGTGTTAACTGGCATTCCACTATCTGAAATACTCTGTTAACCAGAATTGCTGGCCGGGGTCGGGGGAGCTCGAACACAGGAGCCACCACCGCTACCCACCACCCTGTAATGTTTCTTCTCCACATGCGGCCACCACCAGCTCTGCAGGGGTTTTCAAAAAGGTAGAAAACCCCTGTCTCATATAACCAGAACTTTTGGATACTTGGCACCCCCCTTACCCACTCATGCTTGTTAACACAGCTTTTACTGTACTTTGCACTCGGGTACTTAATTTATAATTATGATTGAAGGTGCTACTATATTACAGAAAACAAGGAGAAGCATTAGCTGTCTAAGCAATCAGTTTGGGAAGTCAGAGAGCCCCTAGAATTGCCAGTTCATTTTTCAGGAGGGTCAGCTGGACCTTTTGTCTTTTTCTGTCTTTAAGATGTAATACTACCATGAAGTTGTGGAACAAGACCCTAAAATGATTTCTGGTTTATGAGAGGGGCAAGGAATTTCTGTGGCATCTTTTACTGGTCCAACTGTATATTTGGGTGAACTGTTAGACAAACTTTCATTCATCAGATGCCCTTCTTCAGGTCCAAGCTGATCTGTGAAAATCTTAAAGACCCTTGGCACTTTTCATAAGAGCCGAGACTTGCATTTCTTTTTCTGGCCAAAATCTTCTGCCTTAGCAGTTTGCTGTATGCCAGCAAGTTGCTTCCCATATTAGAGGTAGGTGTGTTTAAATGCTGGTGTTAGGTATATGATTTATGAAGAACTCTGAAGTTTTAGAGGACAAAAACTTGGCAAGATTCAAAATTAATTGCACATTTGCATGGAGAACAAGAATATCCAAAGTTGCCTTGAAAATTTTTTGGATAAACCTTGTGTTTCACAGGTAAGCCAATCTGATGCAAGGCATTGGGAAGCAACCTAACATAGGGAAATAGATGATCTCTCAACTCTCTATCCAAAGTTTCTTGGACTGTCCTCTGAATAATCCAAAGCTGGGAGACGAGACACTGAATTTTCAAGACCTCAGGTCTGTTCTAGCATGGCCGTTTGCGTTATCTTCTTATGTATTTTAAAGTCCCTTTTTTGGTTGAGGGAAGAGAACAAGGGGAGTTCTTGTGCATGAAACCTCTAGGTTCCTGAGGAAGACATTTAGTGTGAATGGAGAAAAATCCTACCGTTAATACATTTTTCATGTGCTGAGATACAACTATAATGGATACATAAATACTTAAACAGAATGAAGACGCACTCTTCTGTAGTGTCTTTCACAGAAAGCAGGTTGACTTGTAATCTATCTGATAATATTTAGCACTGAAAGCAACCTTTTCAAGTATTGCCCTGAAGTGTCTTTTGACTGTATGTGGAAGTAGTGCTGATGGGGGGTGGGGATTACTTCTAGTATTGATTCTTTTAACCTTGCTTATTGTCCATCTTTGTATAGTTCCCTTGAGTTTATATATGGGTCAGTATACTGATGCTAATATTGGTATCTAGGCCTATTGCTCCCACTTAACAATCAATTTCTTGACTTCCTGTTAAGTATTGTATTGATTGTACAATTGCTTTATTGATTTCTAAGGCATCACATGACCTTGGCATTGCTTAGCTAGTGGATTTATTTTTGTTTGTTGATATTCACGGATGCAGTACTACTTACGTTTAAGGGTACAGAGTTGTGGAACCATTACTTACTTTGTTCCCTGCTCTTTTGAATCCACTCTGTTAACCCAAAGAACATGATGATTGTTAACATTCCATCTGTATAATGAATGTAACTTTTTAATTGAATATTTAAAATAGTGGGTTTTGTAGGATGGTTTGCTTCAGCACTTGGATGGTGAAATAGGGCTTTTAAGGTTTTTGTGTTACAAGAAAAACCTTTTCTTTAAAAAAATCAGCTGACTTGGCTGGATGCTCTCTGAATGAATGCACTTGAAAGAGAGGGGGAACATATACATGTCACCCTCTTTTTATAACAAGAAAACAGGGTAAATGTTTATTGGGGTGGGGGAAGCCCTGAATATTTCCTAGTGCCATGGCTGGTGTTGGCTGACAAAAAAGCATCTTTCTTGCCAATCTGGTATACTCATTTGAGATTATAAATATACATGCTTCAGATATTTGAAGGACTAAAATTGTTGTGCTTCATAATTATTCTCTACTTTTTTAATTAATCTGTACAAGTGTAAGCTTGCATATTGGGAGGAAAGTTAACTGTAAAGCAGGTCAACAAGTAGCAGAATCTTTGAAACAGAGTGCATTAAGAGACTTCTTGCAGCAATTCATCATGCAGATAACCACTAGGATTTGTCATGTGTGTGCACTGTTGCACTTATTGCAGTTAAGTTGTACACCTATACAGAAAATTTGGGCCAAGATGATTAAGGGGCTAGAGGGCTTGATGAAGGAAAAATCTTTGAAGGATGGAATATGTGAACCTTAACTAAATGATGATTAACAAATATCTGAAGGAAACAACATATACCAGTAGAAGCATATGACTTATTTAGAACAAACCACCTTATAAGGGATTAAGTCATGCAAAGTATTATTTAGGACATGCATGAATTACTAATGATGAAGTCTGTTAATTTATGCAGTTGCCTCCCCAGGGAAGTGTGGAAATCTCTCACTATGGTGATGTTAAATTATATAAAAAGTACAGGTACATAGGCAGAGAGGAGGCTGTAAAATATATGACCTTCCAACTCATTGTTTATGAGCAACTACTGCAGATCATCAGTGTCAGTAGGGATATAAATTTGTACCAGCTGTCTGGAATATTTTAATATGGTATGTCATGCTGTAGTGCCAAATGACCATAATTCAGATTGGCCATGTTACGGTGGTTCTGGTACAATAAAATAATCCGTCATTCTGTAGTGGTTTATGCTTCTTACTTGGCTAGTGAAATCCTTGAGTTCATTGACATTTGTGTTCTGCTATGAATTGATTAGGTGGTTTCAGTGTTACTGGGTTACCTACAGACAAGTTGGATTATATGTCTGACTTGGCTTTGCTTAGCCAGTTAGAATTTAAGCGTCTTGCAAAACAAAGCATGTGGCATATGTAACAC